TTCATGGTGGTATTTCTGATTCTGTACCATTGATAATATTATCAAAATGATGTTGGTAATGTTGCAGCAAATACGGATTAGGCTCTATCATTATTTGCCATCTACTATCGCAATTACAAAGTGAAATAGACTACCTCTGTAGAATTCAAGAAAGAGACAAAGGTACTCTGATTTTCCATTCACTTAGTCATGTGGTGAGGGAAGACGAAACTAACGGGTTAACATCCGCCAGCATAGTACCTTCTACCAATAGTACCCAAAGTAGGTACCAATTTTCCGAGTCCCGGCCAGTGCGAAGGCCGCGGTCCTCTAGTATGCACCTCGTTTTATAGCCACTTCTTGTGTAAATGATTGTATAATTTAATGCTTTCATAAATCACCGAACTTTTTGTTAAGGTAGACTTTGGGATTGGAAGCGGAAGATTATTGTATCTTAGGTCATAATTCCCAGAATATTTTCTAAAGATTAGACACACTGATTCTAAGATGAATAACGATGGTACTATTAGTATTTCCTCCTGCACAAAGAGTTGTCTACACGATTCTCTACAACTTTTCTTGCAGAGACAACGCACTGCCCGCTGGAGAACAAAGACTGAATGAATCGATTTCTGGGTGGAATATCCCCAAAAAGCAATTCCATATTGCATAATATGAGACTCCATAAGAGAGAAGTACGCCGCTCTAGAAGTCTGCTTTCCCAGATCCTGAGCGAGAGATCTGATTATGTAACAACTCTGTGCTAATTTTTTATTTTGTTGAATATGTGTGTCGAACTTTAGTCGTGTATCTATGTATAATCCCAAGAATTTATTAGTTGTTTTTTTGTTCAAGGGGAATATTATCTAATCTCACCTCACCAAGTAAGTCTCCTGTCTTTGCAGGCCCTCAAATTGGTGATTCTTGCGAATTGTAATATTGCATATACGTCTGCCTGGAAAACAGATGTACCTATGTAACCTTAAAAAGAAGAAGGTCTCTCATCTTCCTCTTTGACTGTAGATTCCTGTGCCCTGTCTTTGACCATTCCGAGTACCAGGTCTGGCCTTTGAGATTGGAGAGTGCATGTTGATTTTCCCATTCTCCCCTTTCACTAATAAGGACTTGGAACGATATGTCGGGTGAGTATTTGAGAAGTGCATAGTCAGTTATCATGTCGAATACTGTTAGATTCATGACTTCCCTTTCTTGTGTGTGGCCTGATCTGACTGCTAGTTTGCTCAGGTTGTTTCGTTGTCTGTGGAGGCTCATCCGGGCTTCCGCCTGAATCACAATGTGTAGCGAAGGTAGGTCTAGTAGGACTTCCATAACTGCTGTTGGTGTGCTTCTTATGCACCCTGTAATTCCCAGACAGGCAAGTCTTTGCACCCTACCAAGTCTCATTCGGGCTCTGTCGTGTGTCTTTGTCCACCATATCAAGAACGCAAAGGTTATTGCTGGCTTTACAACCCTTGTGTATAGCCAGTGCATCATGTCCGGCCGCAGCCCCCAGGTTTTTCCGAAAGTTCTCCTGACTAGTATTCTGACCTTTTAATTACTTTATCCAGAAGTTTGTTCCAAATTAATTTTGAGTCTATGATTATCCCAAGATATTTAACTTCTTCCGACATCGTAACTGGGTTTCCCTGTAGGTAAACAGGTTCAAGTTCCTCCATTTTCCTTCTTCTGGTAAAAAGGACGATTGTCGATTTGGTAGCACTAATTTTCGACACAACAGTCTCTGTCCACCTAGAGAGATTGTTAGAGCCTGCTGCATGCGATCTCTAACTGTATGGTTGAATTTCTCAAGTCATCTGCATATTCCACTACATGATGGTTGTTGCTCTTCAGTAGCTCTATCAGCTCGTCCATTTTATGAAAAAAAAAGCTTAGGATGATAACGAGGCTATGATTTTTACAATCCGATTAAACATGCTAAGTGATATTTCTGCCTTAGAGTCAATGGTCTAATTTTTGATTTTTTTTTCTGGAAATCTGGGAAACCTTGAGATACCAAGTATTTTTTTATTTATTGGAGAAGCTTTCAGCGTCAACATACTAAAATTTTATGAAAAAATAACTCAAAATAACGGAGCTATGATTTTTACAATCCGATAAACACACTTAGTGATATTTCTGCCTTAGAGTCAATGGACTAATTTTTGATTTTTTTTCTGGAAATCTGGGAAACCTGGAGGGACCAAATATTTTTTTATTTATTAAAGAAGCTTTCAGCTTCAACTTACTAAAATTTTATAGAAAAATAGCCTAACATAACGGAGATATGATTTTTATAATCCAATAAACTCACTTAGTGATATTGGTCTAATTTTTAATTTTTTTTTTTGGAAATCTGGGAAACCTAGAGAAACCAAATATTTTTTTATTCAATGAAGAAGTTTTCAGCTTCAAAATACAGGAATTTTATGTAAAAATAGCCCAACATACCGGAGCTATGATTTTCACAATCCGATTAACACACTTGGCGATATTTCTGCCTTAGAGTCAATGGACTAATTTTTGATTTTTTTCTGGAAATCTGGGGAACTTGGAGGAACCAAATATTTTTTTATCTATTAAAGAAGCTTTCAGCTTCAACTTACTAAAATTTTATAGAAAATTAGCCTAACATAACGGAGCTATGATTTTTACAATCCGATAAACTCACAGTGATATTTCTGCCTTAGAGGCAGTGGTCTAATTTTTAATTTTTTTTTCTGGAAACCTGGGAAACCTAGAGAAACCAAATATTTTTTTATTCACTGAAGAAGTTTTCAGCTTCAAAATACAGGAATTTTATGGAAAAATAGCCCAACATAACGGAGCTATGATTTTTACAATCCGATTAACACACTTGGTGATATTTCTGCCTTAGAGTCAATTTCAACAACAAATCTGATATACATAATAACAAAATATAATTTTTCCCTCAATAGTCTCTTAAATAATCGCCCGCACCTAGGTGACTGAACACCTGTATGTGCAAAAGAAAAAAATAAAAAAAATATAAATTTTAAGACAAAAAAATAAAACACACACATGAAAAAAGAAAGAAAAATAAACAGTTGATATAAATATTTGGTTCCTACACCTACCAGATTAAACTAGCAACATAAATTTATACAAATTTTCATAAATGTAAGTACGACATGCTTTATTAAATTTTTTTAAATTAGATATTGACCTGGTCACTTGTGGCAAAGTATTTTACAATTTGGGAGCCAAAAAGTCATATGATCGTTGGTTTTTAGATGTATTTGATAATGGTACCTTCAGATGCCCGACATATATTGACCTAGTATTGTGAGAATGATCTACAAATTTCTTACACTTTGATTTGTGTATAAAAGAACACGTACTTAGAAAATACAAACTTCTCATATTTAGGATACCTTCATTATAGGTATAGTAGACTTGTTGAATATCTGCTTTTTACATTATTTATGACTTTAAGTATATAATTCTGGACCACACACAACTGGCTTAATGAATTATGGTATAAGCCACCCCACACCACAACTCCATATCTCAAAAGTGATTCTATTAAACATTTGTTTGGACTAATTTTTGATTTTTTTCTGGAAATCTGGGGAACTTGGAGGAACCAAATATTTTTTTATTTATTAAAGAAGCTTTCAGCTTCAACATACTAAAATTTTAAAGGAACCGAGCCCGCCATAATGAGGCTATGATTTTAACAATCCGATTAAACATGCTGATTGATATTTCTGCCTTAGAATCAATGGTCTAATTTTTGATTTTTTTTCTGGGAATCTGGGAAACCTGAAGAAACCAAGTATTTTTTTATTTATTGAAAAAGCCTTCAGTGTCAACATAATAAAATTTTATGGAAAAATAACTCAAAATAACGGAGCTATGATTTTTACAATCCGATAAACAAACTGAGTGATATTTCTGCCTTAAAGTCAATGGTCTAAATTGTGATTTTTTTTTCGGAAAATCTGGGAAACCTGGAGGGACCAAATATTTTTTCATTTATTAAAGAAGCTTTCAACTTCAACATACTGAAATTTTATGGAGAAATAGCTCAGAATAACGGAGGTATGATTTTTACAATCCGATAAACACACTGAGTGATATTTCTGCTTTAGAGTCAATGGTTTAATTTTTGATTTTTTTTTGGTAATCTAGCGAACCTGGAGGAACCAAATATTTTTTTATTTATTAAAGAAACTTCCGGCTTCAACATATTAAAATTTTATTGAAAAATAGCCTGAAATACCGGAGCAATGTTTTTTATAATCCGATAACTACACTTAGTGATATTTCTGCCTTAGAGTCAGTGGTCTAATTTTCGTTTTTTTGTTTTTTTCTGGAAATCTGGGAAACCTAGAGAAACCAAATATTTCTTTATTTATTAAAAAAGCTTTCAGCTTCAACATACTGAAATTGAAAACAACCGACGTCATCAAGAGGTGTCTGAAATTTGTTTTCTCCTAGTATTCCCTGGATGTCGACTCGCTATCCTAATTCCTGGGGTCTCCTAACACTCCACTTATGTTCATAATACTATACAAACTTTGACTATACCTATGAATTCTTCTTCCATCGTGCTGTTTTTGCAGATCTGTGGCAGTGGATTTCACATACTTACTCCAAGTATGTCCTTTCCCATTACACAGAGTTATATGGACGATGTATAGACTTTTCATTTCTCATTCATTGCTGGCATTTCTGATTGTAGCATTGTTGGTGAAGTGATTATCAGAATGATTTGGTAAATGTTCCAGCAAACACAAATTAGGCACATGACGTTGCCCTATCATTATTTGCCATCTACTATCGGAATTTCAAAGTGAAATAGACCTATTTTATTTGTAGAATTCAAGAAAGAAACAAAGGTACATTGATTTCCAATTCACTTAGTCATGTGGTAAAAGAAGAAGAAACTAAACTTCATGAATCTTTCTCGAACTTTCAAAACCCATATACCTATTCTAGATACGGGCTCTTAATACCGCGACCTATCTCGCTTAATTCTCAGCGCATTTGTATCGCTCTTCGGCTAAGATTCGTTTGACGGTGCGGGTTAACATCCGCCAGCATAGTACCTTCTACCAATAGTACCCAAAGTAGGTACCAGTTTTTCGAGTCCCGGCCAGTGCGAAGGCCGCGGTTCTCTAGTATGCACCTTGTATAAGCCACTTCTTGTGTGAAAATTGTGAAATGCCAGTATTCGGTACCGTTATGAAGTCGATGCAAATGTTCCGGTAGTACCTGAGTGTGCGATTGTTTCGTAAACGGTTGTTTATTAGGTGAAGTTCTTTGTTTCTTCATGGATTAATGAGAGGATTGACTTGAGAGGTTGAGAAACAACCGATAGGTGGCTTATGTAAGTACAAAGTTATCTGATTTTGAATTGTTAAGATTGCATCTTTCTCGCTAACTTCTAAGGTAGATTCTACATTTGAGGTCATACAACATTGTTTCTGACACACACCCACATACCTAACCTTTACTTAAGTATAGGTACTGTTTTTTTTTTAATTAACAGAATTTACTTAATGCTTTTCACTTTAGAATTTACTATTCAATTTTTCCATTGAATGAATCATTCATGTGATTATTATGCAACATTATAATGGAAAAATCTAGACCGAAATTGTTGTAAATGCACAATTATACTACCCGAAAACCAGACAACTGCTTTTGCAATTAAAGTTCATTGGTGTTCGGATTGGAATATAAATCTGCTGGCGGATGTTGCATAAAAAACAAGAATAGTCTCTTTTGCTTTGCAATAATTTATATTTTGAAACGTAATAGTAGAAATTCTCTCTCCGTGGAATTTCAAGTGAAATATGACCCACCTACCATTCGATTTAGCACCTTGGCAATAATTCTTTAACCAACCAGTTAAAACGAGGACGTGAACTTAATTTATCGGTATCGGGTTTTATTTTATCGTGTTTATTATTTATTATTAGTTCATCGAGAAATTACTTGAGTCTAAGAATATTCTATAGGTGAAAAGACCATAATTTTTGCCTGCCTTGTCATGTTTGTAGTTATATATTTGTGTAATTTTACTGATTTTTCATCTTCATCTGCCTCATATTAGTATCAGTGATAAGGGTACAAAGCGACAAATGGCATCATCATCATCGAAAAATTCAACATATTAAATAAGGTTTGAAAGAAAAAAAAAATGCTTTTTGCAGCACATAATCTCAGCCGCAAGCAATTATGCCAATCTGTGAATAACAAATTTAATTAACCTTGAAAAATATGCTACTAGAGGTATGTTGCAATCATAATTATTATTATTATGGTGCACAATCTTTAAAGGTCGCCCTCCTGTGACGCTTATTATAAATAAAATTTTCCGCAATTAAAAACCATTAGCATCTAAATTGAGGTTTCAATGTGCTCTGGTAGTTAAAAGGAAACCAAAATCCATTATCGGAAATAGGCGGGGCAGGAAAGCCAATCGCCACAGTAAAAGGACCATGTTTCAAAGGGGGTGCTGGCTCAAAGCATTAGCATTTACCCCCCTGCTAAATAGATTTGAAGATGGTTTGTTGTGGATTATTTAAATTGAATCAGAAAAGACACATTGATACATCTACTGATATAATTTTTTATTAAAATTTCCTAATGCGGAAGTAGGTTTTATTTAGGGGCAGATGGCTTCATTATCTTGCATTCAAAAAATAAACATAAACTGCCTCTGTACCTTCTTTCAGCCATAAATTTTAGTTTAAAAGCATCGACATTTTCAGCTGCTTACAAAAAATAAATACATAATATAAATTACAAATAAATTCCAAACTCGATTTTTCCCCATATACATTTTCCACTTGGACAATGTTAATAGTGCCCTGAACCCAACAACTGGATTTTTGCAATAAATAAATCTATTCGGTAATTTTCATTATTTTCAGCTCTAGTGCATTTAATTGTTTAGCCATAGGTATAATAATAAAATATGAAATACTTCGTGTTTTTAGATATTGAATTTTATGTGTTATATCGGGCGTAAAATTGATGAAAATGTTTTGAAAATTTAATTTAAAATAAATGCCATTTTCATTTGATATTATTGAAGGGACAATTTGGCTGTGTCCCAATTAACACATCTGTGACATTTATGTAAAGTTTACATAAATGTGAAGATCGTGAATTGTGAATACTAATATAATATTTATGTAAAATTTACTGAAACAGGAAACCAGAAAAGTTGTTGGCATGAAATTTTGTCTAATTGTCAATTGTGTCTTCAAAACAGGTTTTTTTTCGAGATAATCGGCTTTGAAGGGTTTCCAAAATGTGAGAGAAAGTTTCAACTTTTAGGCTCAATATCTCGGAAACTATTTGAGATAAATGATTCAATTTTATTTTAAAGAGTATTTAATTCTGATTGAGAACATATACATATGCATTAGAGTTCGTAAAATATTTATTGAGTTATGAGCGATTTTGTGAGGCAATTTTGGATCCAAATTGCTAGTAGTTCTCTACTAGAATGAGAATCACTGAAAATCTCAGCTTTCTATCTATAATGAAAAAAAAGTTATGACCTTTCAAAGTTTTCCCAAATCTAAATCATAAGGTAGTAACACTAACGAAGAAATTTCAAATTTTTTTTTGTTGAGATTTTGTGTTTTATGGTCCTTTGGAGTTTCCCAAACTCCATACACTAAATTATTCTGAGATATTGAGTCGAATTCTATCAAAAAGGCACTCAGAAAAATTGAAAAATTGATAAATCACCCCAAATTGCTTAACACTATTTTATTTTTGGAACTATAAGTCCAAATGAGCTGAAATTTTCACGGATTGTAGTCCTCTACTGGAGTAAGAATCGCTGATAATCTCAGCTTTCTGTCTGTAATAGGAAAAAAGTTATGACCTTTCAAAGTTTTCCATAATCTGAATCATAAGGTACCTAAGTAGGTACTTACTACAAAAACGATGAAATTTCAAAAAAAAAATTGTTGAGATTTTATGTCCTAATGGTCCTTTCGGATCCCCAAACTCCATACACTAAATTATTCCGAGATTTGGAGCCGAATTCTATGAAAAAAACACTGAGAAAAATTGATAAACCACCTCAAATTGGTTAACACGATTTTATTTCTGGAACTATATAAGGTACCTGTCCCAAATAAGGCCATGTTAAGAAGTTTTATTTTTTCCGAACACTATCCACCAAACCCGACAAAAATCGCGAGCCTATATGTGAAGTGTTTCGCTTCTATTACTTGGATATTAACTCCAATTTATTTATTTTTTCATGTAAGTGGTGGTTTTTGCGTAAAACAAAGACCCATACCATTGGCCTTGTGTGGATCACTATGCTCCTAATAAGAACACCAATAAAAAAAAAAAATAAATAGAATCATTTATAAAAATATTATTTTTTGACAAAAAGTACTCAAAATAGAACTTTAACGTTTGCTGCATTCTAAAAAAACAATAATTTTAATTCCTAGGATGGAAATCCAAATAGGTCTACAGACAACTAGGACAAATAACCGCAGCTTTTCTTGCTTGGTTAGACTCCAGGTGCTTTAAAACACATCACTTAAGTAATAATAGGACACATTCTTTTAAAAAAAAACACTGTGATGTGAGGCCAATTGGAAATTTTTGCATGTGGCCTTATCAGGAACATGTTACATTGATAAAAAAAAGTCTGTAACTAGAAATCTAGCAAAGATATTATTCTGTACTTACTCCATAGCTTTCTCAAAGCATAAAGGTCTGTGTAAAAATTACATTCGCTCCATTCCCTTTGAGAAAATGTCTATAAACTAATTAAGTTCCAGCCTCAAAGTTATAACTTGACATATGAAATCTATGGTTAGCCATTTTTCGACATATAACGAGTTGCTAGGAATCCTCGCAATAATTTTCCATTTGCATTATAGATATCTTTTTTAGTAATATTGTTATTTTTGAAGATGGGACTCAATATTAAACAATAAGGGGCATTGGCCTTATCAGGTACATGGCCTTATTTGGGTCAGGTACCTTAATTCCAAAAGAGCTGAAATTTTCAGTGTTTGTAGTACCACTGGAATAAGAATCACTGAAAATTTCAGCTTTCTATCTTTAATAGAAAAAAAAACTTATGACCTTTCAAAGTTTTCCAAAATCAAAATCATAAGGAAGCTAGCTCAGTACTAAAACGATGAAATTTCAATTTTTTTTTTTTGTTGCGATTTTGTGTCTTATGGGTCCTTTGGGATCCCCCAAACTCCATACACTAAATTATTATGAGATCTGGAGCCGAATTCTATGAAAAAAAGACACTGAGAAAAATTGAAAAATTGATTGGAGTTTGCCATTCGATATTGGACAGTATACGCAGTGTTTTGAATGATCAATTAGTTTTTGTGAACTTTTAGAGGTTTTATCGCAAAATTAAAAGTTGAAATTTGGTTCAAAACAAAGATTATTTTTTGGCGATTGAAGATTGGCGAGCTGGAAACTTGCAACAGAGAACTTAGAAAGAAAAATATTGAACTTAAGAAATTGAACACAACACAAACAAATTTTTCATGCCTGAATGAGTCTTGTCAAACAGATGATCAAGAGGACTCCTTCTCTATTCTTTACTCAGCCAAAGACAAAAACCTGGTACTCCAGTAGAAAATATTTGAACTAGAGGAATTGGGGTCTCTATCGAGACTCTGACAGTGAAAAATAAATATTTTTAAGGGAAATTATGTTCGCTTTAGAAAGAAATTCAGATGCTCCTTGTTATGTATTTTGTATTATTATTCTATTATGTATTTTGTATTTTATGAGTTATCACCTGGAAAACCAGTTGTTGTAAGAATCGTCAATTTGATAGACAGATGTAAATCATTATTATTATTAAAAGTCAAATATAATTTATCATCAAGAATATAGTAATTTATTGGAACATTACAATTTGGCGCCGAGGATTAACTGAGAAGAAATCAGAGTACCTATTCCAGAATAAGAAAATCATATACCAACGAATTTGTTGAAATTATGTCAGAAGATCTAGCCCCTTTAATAACAGCTCTTAGTGGATTAGTTTAATCTCTCCAACAACAACAGGCAAGTACCTTAAATGATGTTAAACAAGTATTACAAACTCAAAATATTAACTTCAAATATTTTGATGAAAACTGTGAAGATTTTGACACATACTGTCAAAGGCTAGAAAATTATTTTAAAATTAAAGGATTAACTAATGAAGATATTTAAACCAGTGAAGCTAAAGTGATGATTCTTATCAATTGTTTAGGTAGTAAATACTATAAACTACCTACTATCTAATTTAACATCACCCGACTTACCAGCTTCAAAGTCCTATAAAGAATTAATATTGTTATTGAAGGAACATTTGACTCC